CATCCTGACACCTCCTCATCTCCTGGAGGGTCAGTAGCTCCTTGAGGAGATAGAGAGACAGATACGTGCTGGCAGAAGCTCTCCCTCTTGCTTAGAGGAGATGATGCACCACCTCCATTGTAGCCACAAGAAACAGCCCTCATATTGCTGTTCCTCACTAATTAGGAAGAAGTAGGAGAATTTAGGAGTACAATCTGTCTGTCATGGCAGGTCCCAGGTGTGCATGGATGGGAATGAAAAAAGAGTTAAGCAGTGGTTGTGTCTGAATGCCTGATGGAGGCACTCTTCTGGTAACACTGAGAGATTTTAGCATGTTAAGGGAGAAAGAAAAAAGTAACAACTTCTGACTTGAGCCATCAGACCTCAGAGCCTTCCTGCATGCACGGCTGAGTTTTGCAGTTTGGATCTGGGACGCAGGCAGATGATGGTCAGCAGTTACTGCCTGCCTGCTGAACAGATGCACAGGCTTAGCTAGCATGGACAGTAATACAGATTTCCAAAATTTTTCACTTAGCTGTGATTATTTTTTGAGATGCATGAATTACAGTAAGGAGCACATGGGACACTTCCATGCCTGTTTGTCATGACCAGCGTGCACGGGTGGGAGAAATGGCAAGCAAAAGGTGCACCCCCTGGTACAGCCTTGTTTGGGTGACATGCAGAGGTGTCAGTTTGTATGTGGTTGTCTGATGGCACACCTCCTGCTGTGGGGCACTGCTAGTGAGATCTGCTGTAAATGTTTTGATGACATAGCAACCACAGCATCACTGGTTTGCCTGATTCTGGCACAGTTTTCCTGCTCTCACTGTCCTGAACGCAAATAGTTGCATTTCTGCATAGCTTACACAAACTGTTGAAATACGTTGATCGAGAAATTGTTCATCTTGGCATAATTTTTACAGCCGTATGAAGGCAGATGTCTACTGCTGGTAGTTAAACAGATCCACTCGCAGAGTATTTGATGTACTAAGCCAGCATATTTGAATTGCTTTTTGTACAAGGCGTGTAGCTGCTTCTCTGCATGGGTTTGTAACAAGAAGGGGTCATCTGTTGGTCATTATAATTTTCAAGATAGAGCAGAAAAGAAAAACCAGTTAGTGTTTATATAGGCAGAGCTGAAAATTTTTGTTACTGATTTCTAGGAAACAGTTCTGAGCTCACTGCAAACACTGTATTTTCTGGTAATTAAAACCACTGCTTTCTCAGGAAAAAGTAAAATATCCTAAAAAAATAGCACATAATGTCAGCAAAAAGGCAGTGAGCCAAACTCTCGGATGCCTCAACTCTTCTTAATATTTTGTTTGTGTTGGTTTTTGGTTATGTTTTTTTAAGCTTTGAATTCTTAGGGACCTTTCAGGTAACAGTGGCGGTTGCTTCTGTGTACGCCTACAGTGAAATCTGAGCTGCTTGACCATGGTGACCTGCCATTGCAATGATCTGCAGGGCCGTGTGTGTGGCTCATCCAGGTGTCACTGAGATGCTGAAGATATTCTCTAGTAATGTGCTTTTTTTTTTTTTTTTTGGTGAGTTATACAAACACTATCTTGAATCCTCTCATTCCTGAATATTTTCATCCTTCCTGCACCAACTTTGCAGTCTTCATGAAACTTAATGGGGAAAAAAAAAATCCTAAAGGTAGATGTTTTTCTGCTTGGAAAATCTTTGAAGCTGGAATTTCCCCTGCCTTGATTTTCCTGCAGTTTTCCTGGTTGACTTTGCACATGGACGTGAGTCTTCCAAGAATCCATTTTCCTGCTGGCATGTGTGCCAGTTTGGTACTTGAATAACTGAATTATTCACTCTAAGACTTTCTGGACTGGCTTTCTCATTATTCTCATGTGGTTTATTATTTTTGGCCTATTAACTCTGATAGGTGTTAAATTTAATTATAAGAAATTGAACTTGATTATTTAACCTTAATTAAGGCACTCTGGGTCTCCGTTCCTCAAGTTACTTGAGAAAGTATTATGGTATTTCCTTTCTGTATAACCTACGTTAAGGAGTGTCAGCTGAACACTGAAGAAGAAAGGAAGGGCTTGTTGCTTTCCTGCAGTGCGTGTTACTGTGGTCTGATGTCACAGGTGGACATGCTGCAGTGGAAGGAGTGCTGCACCAATGGGCTGCCCCACACGCCTGCTGTGTGACCCACATTTGGGCACGTGGGCAGCCCTGCCCCATCTTAAACACAGGCAGTGTTTTGCTGTAATAAAAGCCTGCAAACAGGATTTCTTATTTGAAAAATAGCCTTCCCAGTTTGGGATTTTGGAGTCTACTTACTGTCTCATTCAAATCATCTCATGCCAAGTGTGTGGGAGAGACCTTTTCCTTGAGTGTGGCTTAAGTTTCAGCTGTAGTAGTACAGGCTCTCTAAACCAGTATTTTAAAGTTATAGTCCACCTTATTTTATCCGAGAGCTCCAAAGCTTACTGTTAAGAAATGTCAACTCAGATATATTTAATCAAATATAAAATATAGTGTAGTGATGGATTTCTTTTTAAAGGATTGAGCAGTTAGGATATGCAGATTTTCATCTGTTTTTTATTTAATTTATATCCCTTCATATGTGGCACATCACAGATGAGTTCTTACGAGGTACCAAAGTTTTTAGTAATATAATTTAATTACTTGGAGCGAATGATCCATCTTTACTAGGTGGAACATGTGACAGTTGCTCTGCTTGATGAAAGGAAAAATTAACAAGTGAATAAAACTGCAGGGCTTTTGGGGAGTTGGGATCCTCAACTCAGGTAATTGGGCAGAAGGGGGATTTTGGAGGTGGCTGTGGTGGGGACTCTCACACTGACAGCTCTCAGGGATGGGCCATCCTCCCACAGTTCTGTGGCTTTAGGATGCTCTGAAGCAGGTTTATCCATGGCTGTGTGTGCCACAAGCTTTCTCAATTCTATTTCTTGTACCAATTCCTGTGTTTGTTGTGCTAGATGTTTCCCAAGTGTTTTCTCCAATGCTTGTGTAACACTGACTGTTTTTCTTATTCTAAAGCATCCGAAGGAAACAAATATGAAAATTAAGTAGAGCATTTTGTACCTACGATAAAGTTCCTCCCTTGGTCTGATTAAGCCTGATAATCTGGTCTAACTCTTCAGTTTGCCTCCCATGACACCCAGCAAACTGCTGCTTCCCACCCCATGTGGTCACACTGAACTTAATTAGCGTGTGGGGGATGTGCTAGAGAGCTTTGCATTGTCCAAGTTAGAAGTGAAGCACAAACATGTGGAGTTTCTCCCTAAAGTAGCACATTGCTTCTAAGGAAATGAGAAAGTGATGTAAAATGCATGGCTGGTTGGTTCTCCAGTTGAGTAAGAAGTGGTTTCTGAGGGACATGAATTATGCAGTAAGTCATTTTTAATATTAGTTTCACTGATGCTTTTTAAAGTGGCTGTGGCATTCCGAAAATATTCTGAATGCAGCCATAGCAATGGCATTCTGAAAATATATTATATAGTCAAAATCTATGGCAAGAGCTACCCCTCAAAAAAAGACAGTTACCTTCTTGAGTAAACCAGTGGTGAATTAAGCAACTTCTTGCCTTGGAGAAAAAAGTCAGACCTTGGTCCTGTGAGCTTTGGTACTTGCATTGCTTTAAGCACAGGGTTAGTCTTACGGGTAGGATCAGGGTGTAAACCCCCTCAGCCTCAGACCTGAGCTGTATCTCTGAATTTGTGACCTCCCTGTGCAATACTGATATGAGGAGAGGTGAATTCAGAGGTCTGAAATCAAATACAGACTCTGAGGGAGATGTAGACAAATCACCATGCAATGAGATGGCATTTATCCAGATCTTTTCCCCGCTCTGCTGTGTTTGTGTAGGAGGTGAGTCCCCCAGGGCAGGGACTGCACCGCATGTGCAGCAGATGCAGCTCTTGGCTGGTCACATTAGCTAAGTAAATTTTGTAATGACTGGGATGAGTTTGGCTCTTTGACATCAACTAAACTAAGCTCCTCAGAAGAGATGAATCAGCATAATTCCTTGGTGGTGCTGAGGTTGTTGGTGCTAAGAGATTTGGTTTAGAAATGTATTTTTAAAAAAATGCTATGTGATGCCAGCAAATAACCAAGCAAAAGGTATTCTGGGCCAAATTTTGCAGTTATTTGAGCTTCAGTGATGTGCAAAAGCCTTGTGTCAACTCAAAATCTTTTCCCTGTCTGCACAGGCAGTCTTTTTACCCAGCGTTCTGAGTTTTTCCCTGTCCGTAGAAATCCCATTGCTCATTGAGTTGATTGTTGCTGCTCAGTGATTGAGTTGTGTGTGTAACTCTCCTGGCAGCTGCTGGGAGGCTGAGGTATAAGCAGTGGGGCCTCATCCTGCAGGGTGCAGGAGTCAGTATTGGTTTGATGATGGAGCTATAGTCATGAATCTTGCATTGGCCAACGGTGTAGGGCATGTTGGGTTTGATCCTGCCAGAAACAGAGACACGTCTCCTCTCTGTTAACTTTGGTGGGTATGAAGTGTGCTTCTCTGTTCTGGGATCCTGAGCAGCAAGCCTGGAAGGACGGCCATCTTTCTTGGCAGAGGTGGAAGGAGAAACTTGAGTTGTGCTGCCAAAGGATGGCTAACCTGAGTCCCAGCCTTAGTTTCTGTGGGTATTTCAGTGTTGAAAGGAGATACATAGAGATCAGTACTGTAGTGATGTTAAGCAAATTCCTTCTGAAGGTCCTCTTCTGAATCTCTGCTTTGAATAATACTCCAAAGAGATCTGGAACTGCTTCTCCCACCCTAACTGAGCTGTGTAACCATGCAGCCTCTTGACATGGGAAGTGTGTCATCACCCTTTTCCCTCCCTTCCTTTTACAAATAAAGCCTGCATTTCTGAGCAGCTGAATCTGTGTGCTGAATTCAACCCAAGGCCATAAGTCACTTCAGGTCCTCCAGAACTGTTTATGACAAATACACTGTTTCTGTTCTCATGACACATGACTGATGTTCCTGTTGGTCTCTCTTGGCTGCTTTTCCATAACTGTTTTCTGATTGTTACCAACAGGAGTTCTTTCTGGCTGGGCTGAGCGCTTGCCCTCTCAGGAGACGTTTCTTCAGCCTGCAGTAGCGGTGAGCTCCAACGCACGCTGGTCCCGTGATTTTCCGTGCTGTGGGATGAGACCTCCTGGTCAGCTCAGCCCCAAGGTGGGTCCCTGCTCAGCTATTCCTTTGTGATTTTCCCAGGGCCTTTGTCGTGTATTTCTCCTTGTTTGCTGTATCTGTCCTTGCTCACAACACACCCTCCTGCAGATCCAGATCAGCTCTGGGTTTCTGGATGTTGACCACCGTAAGTGGTGTTTCTGTTTTGACAGGGAAGGTATTTAGTGGCAAGGAAAACATTTACTGGTGGAAAGCTCTAGCATCTGCAGTCTCTGCTTGAGTTTCTGGTAACAATTTCAATATCTTAGCCATAATAATAATAATTTAAACAGGTAATGTTGAGTGAAGGACAATCAGAGAGTGTTGAATTTTGTTTGCCTAATATTCACTTCAGGCTGCCAGTGAGAGTCATTCTGCTGATATTTATGGTATTACAACTGAGTGACTCCTTGTAAATCAGCAGCAGTAATACAATGTGAAATGAGAGCAGCGTTTGGTCTGGCACCCAGCGCAGCTCTTGACGGTTTGCTCTGATGCTGTAGGTGGTTGCAGTGTTTTTTCCACTCCTGCAGAGATTCCTGCACAGCTGCTCTCCCCGACAGCCTGATTTATGCCCTGGGATTTATGGAGCTGAACAAATGATTGTAGAAAAGCTATACACTTCATTACACTTGGGCCAGTTTTCCCAAGCCAGAAGGCAAATCCTCTCTTCTCTACCTGTGCTCTGTTTGTGCAGCTGCTGTGCATCCTCGTTGATAGTCTGAAAGCTGCAAGTGATGGGATGATTCAAGGAGCCCAGTTCTCCGTTGGGAGTTGAGGTGTAGGTGTTGCTGCATTTTCTCACTGGATGTGACCTTGCAGGGGGATGCAACACTGTGCTGGGGACCAGATCCAACTGAGCATGTAGAAAGAAGCTCAGTTCCCGTTTTCACATTAGAGAATTTCAGGATGTCCAGGAGCAGAATTGTTCTCTAACATTATGGTTAAAGTCATTTTTAATTGCTTCTCTTATATCTGTATGAGTGGACTCAGTGTAATGTGAATGAGCACCACTGCCATAAAATTAAGATACGACTCAGAACTGAACCTTTGGCTTTTTTGTTACTTAAGTTCTCAAGAGGGAAAGGAGACTTGTACCTGCAGTTTGACTGGGAAAATAATGGATTTAATCACACAAAGCAGCCAAAGCACGTTAGTGGCAAAAGTGTGCAGTTTTTTTCTCCTCAAAATAAAAACTGGTGAAAATTTCTGTAACTTCTTTTAAATTTGCTCAGTGTTTGGTCTCAAAACGCATTTCAGGAAGAAAGCAGAATCCTTAGTTTCATCTCCATTAGCAGCTTTGGTAGCCTGGGAACTGTATTGATGCTATTTAGATTAATGAAGCGTGCAAATTAAAAGTGTTGTCTAATCCTTCCACTATATCAGGCGTAACTGAAGTCCAAACTGGCCATTCATCAACAGTAGGTTTGCACAGATGTTGCCATGTGTGGCATAAGATGGCCCACAGGAACTTTTCTGGTGGTGACAAATGAACCAGAAGAGACTAGACCAGGCTTTCTGATCCCAGCTTGAGTTTTTAGCACTCTTGTGTTAAGAAATACAGATTTCCATATTGTAACTGGGCACATGGTGTACTGCAAGTTTTCTGTTTCCATGGAGACAGTTATGGAAGCACATATTTCCTTTAAAGAAGGGAAAAGCATGGAACAAAGAACTTGTACTCCAAATGAGAAGTTCTTTATCAAACCCAGGCAGAAAGTGAGCCTTCTTTGGCTGTTCCTGTGTAAATGAATTTCCTATAAACCAAACACATGTTTGCATAAAGGCGCAGATCACCCACATGTGATCTTCCGAAGGTCTGTGACTTCTGAAGGTCTGTGGATGGAGGTGGGGCATTACTGATCTCAGAACGACTTGCTTCAGTGGATGAGGGAGTGTGGTAAAAAGGGCTGAGCCTGTAGAGGTTTTATGAATTCATGAAACCCTCCTGTTCGGGGAAAGGAACTGCTGAGGCTTTGTCTGTGTGAGTATATTCAGTTCTGAGTGATTAGGGTGCTGGGAGAAGCATTTGGGGTAAAGCAGACCTGCAGCAGCCACCATGTCATGCAGAGTTAATTCTTCTACCATCATTTCATCCTGTGTAAAATGGGGCTGAGAAAATACTCCTTAAATCCCTGTAAGAGCAGCTCCATTGGCCTTCCCCGTTGAAGCTGGATCAGGCCAAAATTACTTGACTGATTTAGCTCCTTCACTACTTGCCTATCCTCCGTTACTCAATTTTCTATTACATCTGTGCCCTATGGACCAGCCTCCACCTCCTCACATTGATATCTGTGCTGCTCCTGCTTTTCCAGAGAAATCCAGCACAATTTCTACAATTGTGCCTATTGCTCTGCACTCATCCCTCCCTGCTCATGGTTTCCCTTGCATTCCCTTCCTTGCATTCTCACTGCAGGCACTTGTGTCAAGGCTGTTTCATAAATGCTAAGAGCATGCTTTGATGGAATTGTTGTCACAGCAAGTTGAAGTGACTGGATTCTTTTGCTGGTTGCGTGGTGTCACTGCCCCAAGGTGGTTCCCCACCTGCATGACAAGCAGTTGCACACTGAAAGTTTTCTGCATTCTTTTTCCAGTGTTTTGTGCTAGAGTAAAGGAGCTTAGTGCTGATGAGCACTGGAGAAAACTATATATTGACAGTAATTATATTGCTCTGGTAATGGATAATGCTGCTCTTCTTGTTTTCTGATTCATCAGGATAGATGGACTTAATAATGAGAAAACTTTGCCATGAAGATCATGTAAAGCACAGAGCGGATGAAGCATGGGGTGAACAGGAAAGGCGTCAGTGGAAGCAGATGGGCAGCACAGCATGTGGTTTGCCTGGCATTTGTTGTTTTGCGATAGGAGGCTCAGAAATGAGTTACAGTGGGACTGAGAAGTGGAAAAACACTGAAATCCATGAATATTCAAAAGAGCAGAAGAAACAAATGTATTGACCTAAATGACCATTGGTGACTCAAAAGCTTAAAGGCAATGTATTTAAATCGTAATTGTGCATTAACAGCACGAAGGCATGTGGACAGAATGGGGCTGTGAGGATGGAAAGGGCAAGCTGCTGATTTCAGGAGCAAAATACAAAGTAATGGAAATAATTTCATTGGTGGTCCGCCTTCTTCTGCTCTGACCACAGAGACCCTTGACAAACCAGACTTGTAGGTTGGTGTCTTGAATTCTGCCAAAACTAACTCCAGTACTGCTACCCTTCTCTGAGCAGGGTTTTTCATTAGGCTAACTTTGTCAACAATTCAGTCTGAATCATCACCATGTGATTCATCCTTATGAATTGCAGACTGATTGCAATTTTTGCGTTTGTTTTTCCCAGCTGAAAGCAAGCTGACCTGCAGGTTTTTGCTTTGTTGCATCCATAGGGAAATTTTGCTGTGTTGGCCCATCGTCATTTTCCCCTCATTCTGTATTTTTTAAATAAACAGTAGAGATTACCTTGAATGAAAGGCTGAACTGACCTCTTTCAAACAAATCTCTTCCTGGAGAAGCTTAAATAAAAACCTCACTTTTATTCCTGCAATTTAATAGATCATTTTACAGATGAGATACGACCAAAGTACTATGGCTGATTAAGTCTTTATGTCTTAGACTTTTGAAATCTGTTTCTCAGGTAGAAAAGGTACAATAGCTATTCTGAAACCTAATCTTTATTTTAGGCATCTAGAGATTTCGTCTACGTTTGGTTTTGATTTTATTCTGTGTCCTTGTAACCATAATTTGTTTATATTTATATTTCCAACCTAGCTCCTGCAGTGCCTAAGTTTGCTTCTCTGCATCTGTATTGCTTTGTTCTGTATTTATTCATGTTTTTGTATGCTTGCAGGGAGCTTATAAACAGGAGGGGATCAATGTTTTACACAAACAGATAGTGATGGGAAAAGAGGGAATGGCTTTAAACTAAAAGAGGGGAGATTTAGGTTAGATGTTAGGCAGAAATTCTTTACTCAGAGGGCGGTGAGGCCCTGGCACTGCTGCCCAGACCTGTGGATGCCCTTTCCATGGAGGAGCTCCAGGCCAGGTTGGATAAGCCCTGGGCAGCCTGAGCTGATGGGGGCAGCCCTGCCCACAGCTGCGTGTTGGAACTCAGTGATCTTTGAGGTCCTCTCCAAACCAATTTGTGTGACATCAAGGAAAATCCTTTATATTGGCTACCATGAAAAGTTATTCTGCTGGAGATGGTTCTTTGTACTTATTTTATTTCGCAGCAAACATTGAGAGTCACAAATATAGAGGAGGGTAACTTGACTGTTGGTAACCTGGGGTGACAGTGAGCACAAGGTTGGAGATAAAGGGGAGTTTGTGATGAAGTCTGAGAGAATTTGGAAGATGATTCTGCATAAATAGGTGATTGAGCAATACAGCAGGTGAGATAGGTAGAAGCTGACAGGAGCAGTCCTTTGAGAAACAGCCTGGCTGCAGCATGGGCATGGCAAAACAGAGAGCTCCAGAGAACAAGCAGTGTAGAAGTGCTGCAGGTGTACCTGGCTCTGCTTACAGAATGAAAATGGTGAAGAAAGATTCTACTAAGTTCTTATGCACTCTTCTTTAAGGTTGCCTTTAGCCAGGATGAAGAAAGAATAGAGTTTCTCCTCCCCCCGATCTGCGATTTCCTTGCACTGATTATTACCAACTGTGGAAGCATTTGCCTCTGCATGTGTGATAGATGCCAGCAGCACAAGAAAGCTGTCTTTGGTGAGGGGGAAGAGGGTAGAAGAAAATCTTTTCTGATATTTCCTGGAGCAGAGTTCAGTGGAGCATTTCAGATGCTTGCTTTCTTGTTATTGCTGTTCTGCTTGTCTTTACCTTTGAATTAGGAAACTCTGTTAGTAAGCAGATGGATGGTTTTGCATGTTAGTGTGATTGATTCATCCCCATGGGAGAGTACTTTTCATTATTAGAAAGCAGAAAAAAATGCATAAATTGGTATTTAAAGTAAAATTAGACTTAACTTACAAATGTTGACTCTGAGATTTTCCAAG